TTCTGGTGTCTCTACAGTCAGCCTGTGACCTGACAGAGAATTCCATAAATGTTTGGATCCAAAACACATACATACACACGCACAATTTTTTTTAACTGGCATTATGGCTCTTTAAATCTCCTGCTAGGTGCCACCAGGGAAGCTGCTGCAGCCTGAGGGAGATGAAACAAAGGCGACTCTGAGCTGAGCCCTCAGAGAACTGCCAGGTAAACCCAAATGCACCCTTACTCCAGCCAGCTGCTCTAGGAACATGGGTGCCATCCCATGGCCATGGTAGGGAATGGGGGTGGTAGCTGGTTTGTGCATACTGCTCACTTATGAGCCACCAGATCCACTCTCCCTTCATCAAACACCCTCTAGTTACTGTAAGTGTCTGATCAGGCTCTCAAGTTCCAAAATCGTTGATTTTGACCACATTTTTCTAGCATAATTGTTGTTTTGGTGGAGGGACTTACCCCTGGAGCCTCCTACTCCACCATTTTCTGTGATGTCATCCTCTTTTCAGACAGGAAGCTTCATTGATTTAGTGCCGGATGGGCATTAAAGAGGCTGTAACACTTGCCTGTCTCCTTAGAACACTCTGAAATAACAAGTGGGCACAGAGGTGGGAGTTTGGCCTTAGACTTACTATAGAGATAGAGCTTTGGACAGCCTGTGTTGCCTAACTCAGACCCGGGAGCTAAAGAATCCTTTGGTAGCAAAAATAGCTACAAGTTATTGAACAACTTGTATTGCCAAGAGCCTTATCTGTATTATCTCGTTGGATCCTCTCAGCAGCCCTGTGAGGTAGGTAAATAGTTACTTCCACTTTACTGATGGGAAAACTGGGGCCTAGAAGATTGAGAGTCTTGTCCAAGTTCTACAGCCAGTGAACAGTAGAGTCAGTCTTCAGATAGGTGGGCGACCTCATGCTCCTGCATCACCCCACTGTTATCCTGCTTCCTCCTTCCCAGCCAACATGTAGGATGCTCCCTGTTCCCTCACCCATACTCTGCCTCTACTCTACCCATGGCCCCAGCCTTTAGGTTTCCCCCCAACATGCAGTCCCAGCCTCCAGACCCACCTGCTGTCAAAAGCAAACACAGGGCAGTGCAGACCTTGGTGGCTGCCGCCACTCCCATCTCTACCACCCGAAGTTGAGGTCTCTGAACATCTCCAGCATGGAAGCAGCACCAGAAGCTATTTCCTGATCCCACACTGTGTGCCTGGCCCTGAAGGAGCCCCCCATCTAGTCAGGAAGACTAAACTGTCAGCACTCCTAGGGTTACACGAACCTGGGGGTGAATCCCAGCCAAGTCACTTACAGCTGTGAGATCTAAGAAGTCCCTTTACTCCCATGGGCCTCAATTTCCCCACATAGAAAATGACACCCCAAGCTCACAAGCCATGTAGAGCATCTGGCACAGCAGTCAGTATGTGGAAGTTCCTGGACACTCGCTAGCTGGGGTATCATAACCCCAGGGCACTCTGCTGTCTCTTGGCTCATCTACCACTTGGCTCTGTCCCTGACATCCTGGCCACATTGCCTGACATCCTCCCACTACCAGGCCCCTGACCTGCCCTTACACAAGGGCACAGCCAGTCTGCAGTCTATCCTGCTATAAGCAAACACTTGCAACACCGTGCTGGCTTCCAGACCTTGTTGCATCAGCACAGGGGGAGCCCATGCCGGTGGCCAGCTGGTGCTGAGGGCCATCAGGCCGGGGGAGGGGCTGTCACGCTGGGCCCCCAGCTCTGCGCCCCACTTTCTTTCCCCCTGAATACGGAATCTGGTAATTTGACCCATTTAGCTGTGAACCTCCACTTTTATGAATCTGAACTTCAGAGCTTCTGTGCAAAAATAGCAGATAAGGCCCAATCTTTTTGTTATTTTAACTTGATTTTTAAATATTGCTACATTAATACACGCTCATTGCAGAAAAACATAGAAAATAAAGATAAGCAAAGATGAAAATAAATTAAAATCACTCATATTTCCACCTTCAAGATAATTACTATTACTATTTGCTGTATTTCCTCCCATGTTTGTGTTATATATAATATATGACAAAAATAGACATACTATATTTTATAACTGTTTTCCCTCTGTATTAGTCATCTGTTGCTATGTAACATCCATTGCCTCAGAACTTAATGGCTTGAAACAACAAATTTTTATTATCTCACACAGTTTCTGTCATCAGGAATCCAGGAGTGGCTCGGCTGGGCTGTTCTGGCTCAGTGTCTCTCCTGAGATTGCAGTCAAGATGTTGACTTGGGCTATATTACCTGGAGATTCGACTGGGGCTGGTGGATCTGCTCCCAAGGTGGTTCACTCACCTGCCTGGCAAGTTGGAGCTGCCCGTTGGCAAGAGGCCTCAGTTATTCTCAGTGGATCTCCTCATAGGACCTAAGTGTCCTCATGGCCTGGTGCTGGCTTCCCCCAGGGTGAAGAATCCAAGAGAGAGCAAGGCAGGAGCCACAATGTCTTCAATGGCCTGGCCTCAAAAGTCACACTCCATCATTTCTGCAATATCCTTTCAGTTACACAGCTAGACCTATTCTTCATGGATGGCGACTACACAGGGGGTGAATGTCAGAGGTGGGGCTCATAGGAGGCTCTACTGGAGGGTAGGCACCACATTCTCTTTAAATATATCATGGACATCTTTTCATGACAATAGAGGCCAATCAATCTTACCTTTTTTTTTTTTTTTTTTTAAGGAAGATTAGCCCTGAGCTAACATCTGTGTCCATATTCTCTATTTTATTTGTGGGTCACCTGCCACAGCATGGCCTGATAAGCTGTGCATAGGTCAACGCCCAGGATCCGAACCGGCGAATCCCGGGCCATCGAAGTGAAGGATGCAAACTTAACTGCTACGCCACTGGGCCAGCCCCCAATCTTATCTTTTTTAATGACTCCATATAAATATAGCATAATTTATTTAACCAATTTGTTATAGTTGGATACATGGGTTATGTCCCATTTTTCGATCCTAGAAAGAATAACCTAGAATATCCATCGCTGGACTCCTCAGATTATTTCCTAGAGATAAATAAAAAAGAAACTCATATCATGCAACCAAGGGTTGAAGCTCCCAACTGGGACATGGGGCAAAGTCCCTCTGATTCTACTCTCTCAAATGCCCCATTAATAGGGAGCTCACTATCTACTGGAACATCCTAGTTCATCGCTGGGTAGCTCTCGGCTTTTTTAGAAAATCTAAGCAGAAACCATGTTCATCCAGCCTCCTCAGGGCAGCCCGTGAGATACTGAAGACTCTGAGCACGTCCTGGGCTTCCCTTACCAGCCGGTGTCTCTGAGGCCTTTCCTCTCCTGACCCCTCTTCTCTAGACAGGTCTCTCCTCTGTCTACGCTGACCCCCTGGTGTCACTCCTTCACCTAAAGAGGAAGCGGTGACACAGGGCAAGTGCTGGGTGCACAAGAAGGCTGGCATGAGGTGTGAGAGTCTGGCTCTGGAGGATTCACCAGCGTGGGGAACTGGGGTGTCAGACCCCTTCCTGCCCTCACAGGTGCCGGGCAAAGCAAGGATGTGGCACCAGGAAAGGGCTCTGGGGAAGGGTGCTTGCTGGTCAAAGTGCAGGCTAGAGAGGGCACTGGAAGTCCAGCAAGCCAGAAAGGAGTCCATTTGCCTCACTCCGCCCTTGTCCACTCCCACCTCCCAGAGGGCAGAGCCAGGGTGTTCTGATCCTCTTCTTGGGAGCTATGTGCTTGGACCAGGAGAAGGGCACCTGTTGCCTGGCCTGGTGGTCCACAAGGCCCCCCACTCCAAACCTGGGCATGAGCCCTGCACCCCATGTGCAAACAGTAGCTCAGAGCCAGAGGCTGCTGGGTCAATGACCTGTCACAGGCAAGGCTGGTGAAGCCCTTTTTGCTCTATTTTCGGAAAGCGATCAGTCGTGTCAAGGGCTTCCTGAGGGTGACCACACTGGCAATCGGTAGAAGAGCCTGACATTCTGTCCAGCCACCATCCTGACTCTGCCCACTTGGGAGCTCCTGCTAATTTTAGCAAGACTTGGCAGATGCTGGAACGTCCACGGCATGACAAGTTCACACCAGCGCCGCAGCTCGGCCGATCTTGGGGGACGCTGTCTGAGCGCCATCCAGCGTTCAAAGCCCAAAACCCCCGGATGACCTCCCCGGCTTCTGAGGCAGGTTTTGAAGACTTACCGTTGAAGAGCCTGACGAAAACTAGCATTTTTTACTTTGGGGAACGGCCCTGGGATGGAGCTGCCATCCAGGTGGCACCCTGCCTCCACCTACTTCCCCGCTCTTGCCTCCGCCCCTGCTCCTCCCCGGCCCCCGCCGCCCCTGCCGCCCCTGCCCCTGCCAGGGGATGCTGGACCAGGAGCCTCCCGCACCTGCTTCCGGAGGGGTCTCCCCTGGTCAGGGCCTCAGGCCAAGCCTCCCTGCCACCAGCCTGCCCTCTGCACCCAGGTGCTGCACAGACCCCGGATGGTATGAAAATCTGCCAGGGGTTCCTGTGGCCCAAGACCGAGGCCGGACTCTTGCGCCTGCACGGGCCAAACCCTCCATAGCGCCCTCCCTGTCTGCCAGGCTCTTCAGTGCGCTCCCTTGCCCCAGGCACCACGGTGACTGCCCACCCTGGCACATCCTAGAACTTGAGGGTGGATAGACTGGTTCCCTCTCCTCCCCAGTACCTCTGGGCAGCGAATCCCCACCCCAGTGTGCAGAGGGCTTGGGGCGCCGCCCCACGGCCCTGCCCCCATGGCCCTTGTCAACCCTGACCCCCTGCAGTCCTCCTCTGCCCTTCCGGCCCTGCCTGACCCGGCAGTGGGCAGAGTATTTCAGCAGCCGCCTGCTGAGTGCTCTCAGTGCAGAAGCCCTAGACGGCCTGCGGCCAGCACCTCTCCAGCCAGGTGGCCCTCACCTGCACAGGTGGGCCTCAGTCTCTGGGGCCGCAGCCCAGCCCTGCGTCTGCGCAGGCAGGAGTGTCTCCACCCCCAAAAAACCTACTTCTTGGCCCCTCAGAAAGATGGCGATGGATGCCAGGAGGACCCAGGCCCAGACAACCTTGAATCTGGTAAGGGTCACCTCAAAGCCAGGGAAGGGGTCCCAGGACCTCGGCAGGGGTCGGTTCTTCCTGCGCAGTCAGGGCAGTTCGTTTGGCAGAGTAGAGGTTGGATGGCACTGTCTCCTTGGAAGGAGCCACTCAGGCTAAGAGATAGCTGTGCCTGTCACCGGCACCCTCCCCACTGCCGCCTCCTGACACTCACAGTTCAGCCTCTGGAGGAGGGGTCTCCAGGGACGGCACCTTCTAGGGAACTTGCTCCTGGAGCTGAGGGTACCACACCCCTCCCCGGCCCCCTTCTCTGCCCCCCCGCTTCTGGTGCTCAGGCCTGTGCTTCGCAGTGGGGAACGTCCGACTGCGCAGTGTCCTCTGGCTCTCAGGGGCTTTCCCATCTTGGCTCTCTGGGATCCTTGTGGCAGGTCTAGGGTGGATCAGGGATCCTCTCCCCCAGGCGTATGTGGACAACTGGCCCAGGGTCACCCACTGTGTATACAGTATGCAGCTACCTGAGGGCCTGGGGGCACAGGGGCCAGGCTGCAGCTGGACTCATGGCCAGTCCACACTGCCCTCCAGGTCACCAGGATGGGCTCTTGCCCAGGGGCCCTGCTCTCTGGGGCCCACTGCTCCACTCAGGCCGGCCACTCCCAGTCTGTGCTGGGGTGGGAAGCATCTTCAGGCCTTCCCTCAGTCTCCGCACCTGTCAGATGGAGGCACCACACAGTGTCCTGCCAGCCGAGCCCCGCGGACCCAGCCCTGCGCACCCCTGCCCGACCAGCTCAACCCCTTCACCTTGCTTCCAACCTGTGTTCCATAGACCTTGGCCAGGCCCATGGCCTTAAGAACTGTCCACAGACTGACGGCTTGCTGATTTATATCTCCAGCCAGACTGGAGACAGGAGCCTGAGCTCCTGCCCCACATATCTGACTGCTGCTTGGCATCAATCTCCCCTTGGCTCACAGACATGCCAACATGCCAAGACCAAGCTCCCAATTTCCCCACCCCAACCCAGCCATCTCTGCGAGTGGGACCCCTCGCCCAGCTGCTCAGGCCAAACCCACAGGGGTACCCCGGACTCTTCTTTTCCTCACCCCCATGCCTCAATCTGTCAGCAGATGGTTACTGCTCGGCCTCCAGAAGAAGTCTAGACTCTCACTCCTCACCACCCCCAACTTTGTTGGGACAGCCTCTGGGCCTCTCACCCCTCGGTGAGGCCTCCTCCTGAAGGGCCGCCCTCTGAGCTCCCTTCAGGCCTGTGCTCCTGGCACTGTCTGTGCAGGTGTCCTGTCCACTTCATGTGAAGCGGCAGCTTCTCACCTCTTTTTCTTCCCCGCTTCGTTTCCTCTCCAGCAACCTGCTGCCCATTCACTTGTTGCTGCGATTCTGTTCTGTTATTCCCTGAGGGCAGGGGTCTTGTCTGTTCTCCAGCACCCCGTGAAGTGCCTGGCAGGCAGTGGGAATCTGCTGGTGAGACAGGGTCAATGGTGGCCCTGCTGGAGGTGGGGAGGTTGTTTGGGCAGGAACCCCCCATGTCTGGGTGTAGCCATGAGCCCTGATGATGTGTCTTGTGACCTCCTGTTAAGCAGGTGAGGGCACAGCTGCAGGGGGTCGGGGGGCAGGCCTGTCCATGCTTTGTTTGTTCTCCCGAGGCCTGAGGGGGGAGGGGAGAAGGGGTGACTTCTCTGAGCTCCTCAGGCAGCACCCCACATTTCCTAGACTGCTCAGGCAAGTCCTTTAAGCCAGCTGGCACAGACACCCAGCATGAAACTCAAAAGAGACTTTTGTAGCTGGGGTCTGGGCTCCAGGAAAGGCTGGGGGCCTGGGCCCTGAAATCAGGCAGGAGGCAGTCCATTGGGGTGGGGGGTGGGCTTTGAGCCTTCTGGCTCTGTGGGCTTGGGAAAGTGCACCTCTGTGCTCAGTTTCCTTATTTGTAAGAAATGAGATAATGAAGTACTTGTGTCCCTGGTGATTTAAGCAGGATAAGGGAGAAATGGATAAAGGAGATAAGAGGAGGCTGGAGCACGGCCTGGTACATGTGCCGGCTCCTGGGATCGTTCCCAGGGGTCTGGGAGGCAGACCTTGCCCCCTTGACTTTAACCTCACCCATGCCCCCCAGACACACAGCCTTGAGGGTTGAAGGGACCACACAGGTGGGAGTGCCCTCCTCTTGGGCTTGCATGCTGATGGAGTACGGTGTTCACAGCCCCCATGTACCTGAGAAAGGGGCTTGCACCCAGCATGGAGGACACTCCCCATGGCAAGATGTGATTTCCAGAGGTGAGGTATGCCAGAGGCCCTTGTCAGCCTGTGACCACCTGGAATATTGGACTGCGGCCCCAGAACCTTCCAGAACCACTCCCCCAACCTGTGCCCACCGGGAACAGGGAATTGGCACAAGTGTGTGTGAGGGAGTCCCCCATGGTATGGACAGTGGAAGGATCCTGCAGTGCCTGGCCTGGTCAGGACACAGTGTGAGGGCATATGACAGGGTATCTCCCGCAGTCTCCCCCATCCCATGCAGTCTCCCCACAGCCACAGTGAGAATGCAGACCTGCTTTTACAGAAATCCCATCCAATCCAGATTTTTCTGTAAAAGTGTCTCTATTTAAACGTTGGCAGCAAATTTAAGCTTTTGAGAATATTGTACAGGACAAATCAGATCCAACTTTATTTACAGAATGGAATCAAGTCCAGCAAAGGTCCCGTCTCCCTATTTCACTCATGCTCAGACGTGTCTCCTGCAAAGGCCCCAGAGGTCCTGTCAGGTGGTGTCCCGGCATCCATGTAAAGTCCCTACTGGTGGATGTGGGTCCTGTTGAGTCCTCACTGTCCCAACACTGCAGGTGCTTCTTAAGTGCTTGCAAGACTCTTTGGAGAGAAATTGCTAGATCAAAATTAAATTCAGATAGCAACTCCAAATTGCTCCCTGACTAGGAGGTTCGACTTCGTGTGATTTCTGGGGTTCCGTGGAGGGCACTTTCTGGCTTTGCCCACAGTCAGTGTCAGGGCCCCTTTGACAGCAGGTCTAGCCTCTGGTCCAAGGCCCCTCATGAGTCCAGCTTCATGGCCACGAGAGGGGCTGCCAGGACAGAGGATGGAGCCCAGCAGAGCCCGAGGGCTGGACCTTTGCAGGATCAGCATCACTTTTATTAAGAGCCCGTGGATGTCTTATAAGCTGTCCCTCTGAACAAGTCTGTCTCGGGGGAGATGCTGGGCTGCCTCTCAAGGACTCCTGACAGCAGTCCTCTTGTGCATGGCTGTGGGTGCCGGTCCCACCGCAGCGTGCTGGCTACATGTGCCTGCACAAATAACTTCTTTAAGCTTTTCCTCACCTAGAAGATGGGCAGATGCCAGTACCTCCCCTCGCATGCTGTGAGGCAGCTTGTGTAATGCACTCAACTCAGGGTCTGGCATATTGGAGGAATTCAGCAGATGGTAATGTTCTTATTACTTCCTGGTGCATTTTACATTTGAAAGTGTGTGAAAGACAGACAAAAGAGGCAAAGGTTGTAGCTGTGGGCCTCTGAGGACAGCCTGGATGGTTTCACAGAGCGCTAAGGCTTCTCCAGGGCTGAGCCCCGTGGGGACAGCCTTGGGGTGGGCTACTCTGATCCTGTGCCCGGAGCTGCAGATGGCATAGCAAACACTGGTATTTGATTCTGTGTTTTGTCATAGACTTTGTCAGCCCCATCCCTTTGTGACCTTCCCTGGGTTTAAATTTTAAGTGTGGGGGCACTGACCTCCCCAGAAGGCCCCCTCCTGCTAAAATCAGGCTTCCTTTTACCTGTCGTCGGCCAGAACGGAGCCACAGGCCCAGCTCTAAACCAAATCACCAGCCGAAGGGGAGAGGATCGCTGTGCTTGGCTTAGCGCCCTGCCCCCCCCCCACCCCCCCGGGCTGTCCCTGGGTCTGGGCAGGGGCTGCCTTCCTTTAATGTGCTACCTTCTCCAACGAAATGTGGGCTCTGAAAACTGAGGAAGAAGGGGCAAAGGGTTGTGTTGCCTCCTGGCTGGAATTCAGAGCATCTCCGGCCCTGGGCTTACGGGGAGACGGCCGTGAAGAGACTGAGCTTCTGTGAAAAGTGGACCCATGGCTTTGATCAGAGTAACTTTCCTTTCCTTTTTGGTCCAAACAACCAGTGAATTAAAGTAACCTTCTTCTCTCCAGGATATGTGGGAAAGAGGCAAGGGGCAGCCACACCGCTGTCCACATGCAGGGTCCCACTTACTGGGGACACATGGGTATGGGCAGCTGCGTTCACAGCCTGACCTCGGGCCACCATGGAGGGGTGAGCGGTCACTCCCTGGAAGGTGCTGGAGGAGACTGAGCCCGGGCCGCCCATGCTCACGGGAATGGCATAATTGAATCCAAGCTTTCTGCATGCAGGCCTCCCTCTGTCAATGCATAGGGACCCTCCTCCCTCTGATGGCTACAGAGTCTTCCATGTTAGGGACCGCCATGCTTTCGTCAACCAGACACCCCTAACCAGTTTCACCTCTAACTAGTGTTCCCTTGACTATCCCTTAGACACATTTGTGCACACTTGCCCATTTGTTCCATTAGCATAAATTCCTGGAGGGAGAATGACCAGATCTTTTAGACAGTAATGCCAGCTGCCTGTCTCCTCCAGACATGCTCTTCCAGCGCCTGTCTCATCCACTTTCCAGGTTAGCGCCTCCCTCCTCCCATCGGCGGAATCTGAGGCACAAAGGGAGGCGCCACATCTGCCCTCTGCCCCTCACCCTCCAGCACACTCCAGGTCACATTTGTTTAGAGGCTGCTCGTAGAACTCTGCTATTCTAACTTTTCAACTGGTCTTAACTGTGGTAGTTTGAAACAATGGGTCATCCTGGACCCAGGGTCAGAGGGTAAAGGAGACCCTCTAGGTGTGTTGGAAACGCCCGGTTCCCACCTCCCCCACACACCCGCGCCCTCTCCCTGTGCAGGCGGAGCAGATCCTGGCAGAGTTCCAGCTGCAGGAGGAGGACTTGAAGAAGGTGATGAGGCGGATGCAGGAGGAGATGGACCGAGGCCTGAGGCTAGAGACCCACGAGGAAGCCACTGTGAAGATGCTGCCCACCTACGTGCGCTCCACCCCGGAAGGCTCAGGTACTGTGGGCCAGGGCCAGGCAGGGATGGGACCCACGTGGGAATGGCAGCTCCTCATCTGGAGGCAGCTGTCCCCAGGCCCGAGCAGGAAGAGGTACCCCTGGCCCTTCTTAGCGGCTCTGACTGACGCCAGCAGCCCTGAGACAAGTCGCAAACACACTGGGCCCCAGACACGGGCCAGTTCTCACCCTCGGCTCCGCTGGCCCAGCCCCAGTCTCAGGAAAACTGGATTTTTTCAAGTCGCAATGGGAAACTGGTTCCCCGTGGTCACTTGGGGGACACCCAGCCTGATCCTGAGACTGGGTCGTTTCATTAGGTCTTCAGTTGGGCCCTGGGCTCGGGGTGAGTTCAGTCCAAGGCAGAGGGCTCCCAGCGACTTTCCCAGTTCAGCTTCGACTCCTTCCACAGTTTACTCGGGGGTTCCCCAGATGTCTGGCCTTGACAGCCCCAGGTCCAGCTGCTCTGGACCCCCCGTGCCATCCCCTCCTGCTCTCCCTGGTCTTGGGGGTCCTGCCAGGTGGTGCCCCTAAGGCTGATGTGCTTCTCCCTGTGGCTGCAGAAGTCGGGGACTTCCTCTCCCTGGACCTGGGCGGCACCAACTTCAGGGTGATGCTGGTGAAGGTGGGGGAGGGCGAGGCGGGGCAGTGGAGTGTGAAAACTAAGCACCAGATGTACTCCATCCCCGAGGACGCCATGACGGGCACCGCCGAGATGGTGAGCAGCTTGGGCCGGGGGCTGGGGGCTAGGGTCAAGACCACCCCGGATCTCAGAACTCAGCTAGCCTTGGTGGGAAGGCCCACCAGTCCACCAGGGGTGGGAGGGCAGCTGTAGGCAGGAGGGTCACCCAGCCTCAGAGGGCCCAGGCAGGCAGCTGAGAGGACTAGGTGGATGGCCACTGGGCACAGTCCCAGCAAGTTACACCCCTGCCCAGTTTCCCAGAAGGATCAGAAACATGACAGGGTAGCTAAGAGAACACGGTGGTCCAGCCAGCATGCAGCCCACACATTCCACCCCCTCCCCATGTATCGCCCCTTGCTCTGCACCGGCATGGACACCAAGTGGGATGACTGCAATCATAATGTCTGCGCAGGCAGCAAGGCCATCCTGACCTCAGGGAGGACTAAGGAGGGGGATCAGAAGTAGAATGAACCCTGGGGGGAGGTGGACAGAACCAGAGCTGATCCCCTGAGTGGCAGGGTTTCAAGGCAGGAGGCCCATGGCAGCCTGGTCCTCACCACACCCCTAAATGCTTGGCACTGGGCATGAATCAAGGCAGTAGGGGTGGTGTGGGTGCCTCACTGGTCCCCGGCACCCAGCAGGGAGCTGAGTCAATCAGCAGAGCTCTCAGCAATGCCCAGTTCTGTGGACAGGCCCACGTGAGTGGGGTGGGGACTGGTCCTCGGCAGGGGCAGGGGTAGGGCAGCCAGGACAGCCGGAGGACGAAAAGGACACTCTGGGTGCTGGTGACAGAAATCATAGTTATGACCAGGGATATGCCTCTGCCCTGTGTGTCTGAGGCCAGATCTCACTGGGTCCAGCTGAGAAGGTCAGGCTGACAGAACACAGCTGAGCTGGGACCAACCCGGTCCTGGTGTCACCCTGTCCTGGGGGCTGCCCGGACTCTGGCATTGGGTGAAGCTCAGGGCCTGAGTCCCGACAAGCAGTGGCGATCAGGACAGGGGAAGTGAGGTCAGGCCCGGAGGCTTTGCTTTCCTGGGGCCTGATGCCTCAGCATGGGCTGAGGAACACGTCAGGCTCGAGGCCCCAGGCGGCTGCAGCTGGCCCACCCTCTGTGGTCAAATGGCTCTTCCAGCTCTTTGACTACATCTCCGAGTGCATCTCTGACTTCCTGGACAAGCATCAGATGAAGCACAAGAAGCTGCCCTTGGGCTTCACCTTCTCCTTTCCTGTGAGGCATGAAGACATAGACAAGGTAGGGCCAGGTGCAGGGGTGTGTGGGGGAGGAGGTGGATGGACGCACAGACGGATGTACATGCACCCCAGAGAAAGGCACCTTGTGAACTCTGCCCTGTGCTGCCTCCAGATGCAGCCACCCAAGTTGGGAAAGATCCAAACCGTGGCTCCATCTATTACGTTCTGTGGGACTTCGGGAAGTAACCTTAGTGGATCCCTATTCTTTGCCCCCCCACACCCTGCGAGGCGTGCACTATGATCACCCCCGTGAAAGACGAGGAGACTGAGGCTTAGCAACTTGCCCATGACGGGAAGTGACAACGCTGAGGCCCACACTCGGGCAGGTGGGCTCCAGCATGCCCGCATGTCGTCACCTGCTCTACCACCTGTGGCGGAGACAGAAATGTGCAGGGCTGCGGTTTCACCTCGCCTGCGAGCTGGCAAGTTAGTCTGCCACAGCTACACATACACACACATGCACACAAGTAAGTTACACATACATATATACACATGTAAATCATACATGCATACATATAGACACAAATTATACAAACATAAACACATCAATTATACAGATATATATACATACGTCAATTATACATAAATTATATACATACCTCAATTTTACATGCATACATACATAAACACACCAATTGGACATGCACATGGATGTAAATTTTAGATGCATGAGTGCGAATCATATGTGCACACATGTAAATATACATGCATGTACATACACGTGTACATTACACAGTCATATATACATGAGTGTATAAATCATACCAGCATGAGTTAACACATGAGACCTCTGGGTCAGAGAGAAAGCCAGTTCGGTACTCACAGCAGAATGGCAGCTGGAGCAACAGCTCGTGTTGGTTTTCTGAGCCCCAGTCCCCACAGCATACAGAGCTCCAGATGGTTCCTTCACATGCAGAGGGTGCGCTACAGGAGAGAAGCCCGATCTTACTCAGGGCCGCTCCCCTCTGGATCACATCCTGCTCTGGGAGACGTCTCTGGGCTTTACCATACAAAGATTCTGAAATTGGCTGGGACCCAGCCCTGCAGAAATACGAGATGTTTGTGGCGAATGGTCTCCAATTCCTCTCAAAGTTATGTGGCTGCTTTGAGCCTAAGTTTCCTCGACTCTAAAGTGGGGTGCGTGTCCCTGTCGTCCGAGTTAGCTCCCCTTCCCTTCACCCCTGCCCCCAGCATTCGTCAGCAGCCACAGAGGCCCTCCTCTTCTCTCAGGGCATCCTTCTCAACTGGACCAAGGGCTTCAAGGCCTCTGGAGCAGAAGGGAACAACATTGTGGGGCTCCTGCGAGACGCCATCAAACGGAGAGGGGTGAGGCGGCACCTGCCCCTGCCCCTGCCCTGGGTCCCCCTCACTCTCCCCCGAGTCCAGGATGCCGGGGAGGGCCTTCTGGGCGTCCACCCAGGAAGGAATCCTGTCCTCCCTCACCTGGCTGGACCAGCCCAGAGCAGGCTGAGTCGAGACCCCCAGCCCTATCACCGCTGCCTCTGCGCCTCTTGGCAGGACTTTGAGATGGACGTGGTGGCGATGGTGAATGATACTGTGGCCACAATGATCTCCTGCTACTACGAAGACCGCCGGTGTGAGGTTGGCATGATTGTGGGTAAGAACGTGTGCCCTGCCCTATCCAGGGGCCTTGCCACCTCAAAAGGTTCTGCTGTCAAAAGACAGCGCTAAGGCTCCCCTGTCTACAGCATGGTGCACAGGCCTCCTCCTGCCTCTGCCTCGGGCCCCGAGGAGTTAAGGCCAAAGTCCTGAGCAATCAGTGATGGCCGGAGCAGGGCCTATGTGCCAGGCACCAATCCCACAGGTGCTGGAGCCCCAGACAGTCTTGGGGAACAGCAATGTTGTCCTGAATGCAGGCGCTATTTACTGGTAGGAAGCATTTCAACACGTGCAGGTCACTGCATCAGATGGCACACCAGCTGCATGTCCGCTTAGTCCATCAGGATTTAATTAAAACACCTTATCTGGTAAATTGACCAAACTGGACGGATTTGTCCAAGTGGAAGAGGATAAGCAAAAGTCGTCATTCCTTCCTGGTTGGTCTAACCCTGGCCAGGGCAGCAGCCTGCCCTGCCAGAAGTAAAGGCAGATACCAGGAAGGGAGGCAGTGCCGGCCTCCGGGGCTTTCCACACTGACCAACGGCCTTTCCCAGAAGTTCCCAAGGTGTTACAACGAGCGTGTACTGAAAAGCAATCCTGTCACATCAGTTAGCCCGTGGGCACACAGGCATGCAGGGTTTTTTCTGGACTCTCTGTGCCCTGGTTACCCAGAAAGTCAGGGGTAAAGTTGTTTGCTTTGCTGGGCCCTTCGGAGCTAGCCCTGAAAGGTTATATATTTGTGTTCTTAGGACCCCACCTGCAGTTGTATGTCTGTGTCCTGAGCTGCAGCCTGACCTGCTGTGTCTCTCCTCTTGTGTGTCACACCTTCTCCTTTCATCCTCGCCTTTCAGATGGAAAGTTGTCATTAAGGCCACCACCTCCAGGAGCCCTGGCCATCCTCCCCGCTCTCTCCTCCACAGCTGCCTGGGGCAGTGGGGTTGGGGCACCACAACCTGAGTTCTGCAGCCATTGGCCTCAGGCATACCCCTCTTGGAGCAGAGATGGCAGCGGGCGGCCTGTGCTCACATCTGCTCTGCAAACACTCTTGGTTACTCTGCTCAGTGCTGAAGATAAAATCATAACATCCCACACCCATCTCTAGTTGGCAAAGCACTTTGACACGTTTCCCTCAATCCTCCCAACTACCCAGGAAATGGGAGGAGAAGGTGTTACCATCCCCTCCTAGGGAAGAGGAAGAGCCCAGAGAGGTGGGCTTATCTACCTGAGGTCACACAGCAAACCCAGGTCTTCTGGTGCGTGAGAAAGCCACCTTTCCTCTGCTCCAGGGACGCAGGGAAACCTTTCCACAGTGGTGGGTGTGGAGGGCTCAAGGAAGCTGGGAAGACAGGGTCCCAAAGGGCTTCCCGCCTGCAGGAACCAGAGCCTACTCAGGGATGGGGAGACATCCAGGAGAGGCAAGGTCGCAGGAAGGTGCCATGCCCCGCCCTAGGCAGCTGGGGCGTGACGCTGCCGCCCCACAGGCACCGGCTGCAACGCCTGCTACATGGAGGAGATGCAGAACGTGGAGCTGGTGGAAGGGGACGAGGGCCGCATGTGCGTCAACACCGAGTGGGGCGCCTTCGGGGACGCGGGCGAGCTGGACGAGTTCCTGCTGGAGTACGACCGCGTGGTGGACGAGAACTCCCTGAACCCTGGCCAGCAGCTGTAAGGCGCGCCCCTCCCCCAGCCCGCTGGGGCGGCAGATGGGGCCGGCCACGCAGATAATAGGCTTGTTTTTAAACAGCTCTGGGGAAAAGCAAACTGACAACCCCCTCGTAAGCCGGCTAGTCTCCTCCTCCAGCTCCCACGCATGTCGTGGCCCTCTGTAAACCGGGAACAGTGAGAGATGTGAAGGTTTAGTCCTCAAAAAGACAGTCTGTGCATGGATGAGCCGGGACCTGGCCCCCTGGACAGGGGGCAGGAAGGCTCTGAGACGCCCCCAGGAACATTAACTGGGTTTAACCCAGAGTTCCCCAAAGTACAGACAGATCCGTCCAGGTTCACAGAACGGACAGCTGTATTTTGGGGAACGCTGCGGGCTCGCACAACACAGCTTGAGAACCAGCCCTCACAGAGCTTGTCGGAGTCACGGCCACGCTTTATTAGGCGCCTAACAGACGCGCCAGGCACGTGCTGGCTGACTCCGTGGCTAGCTTCCTCTCTGACTCTCATAACCCTCCGCTAGATCAGTAGTATTCAATGTACTACTAGATGAAAATAGGAAGGCTCGCAGACGCCGGCCGGCACCAGCGGTCAGCTCCGTGGATTTCAGGAGCGCAGAGCCCCAGCGGGGCGGCAGGGGGGCGCCCAGGCTGGTCACCAGCGCCTCGGAGCCGGAGCCGTAGTTTTCCCAACTGCAACCGAGCGATGAGAACAGCACCCCATCACAGGATGTGGGAGGACTAAAGGGGATTCAGCGCAAGGCCCATCAGAGGGGCTGGGCCACTCTCGAGGCCCCAAAGCAGGTTCCTCACCCCTGTAGTCCTAAAGCCCCCCGCTCATAAATGAGGGAACGGGCACGAACCCAGGCTTGCCAAGGGTGGGTGTCACAGCGCCCAGATGGCCGCCTCATGGCCGCGGTGGGGGGCGGTGGGGCCGGCTCCCAAGCTCCGCCTGCGCGTGGGAACCTCCCTGCTGGGGATGACCCGGCCGCCCCCTGTCCAGATATGAGAAGCTCATCGGCGGCAAGTACATGGGGGAGCTGGTGCGGCTCGTGCTGCTCAAGCTTGTGGACGAGAACCTGCTCTTCCACGGGGAGGCCTCCGAGCAGCTGCGCACGCGCGGCGCCTTCGAGACGCGCTTGGTGTCGCAAGTCGAGAGGTGCGTGGGTGGAGCGGACGGTGGGGCAGGTACAGGGGGCAGTGCGCAGAGGGCGGGGTCCGGGACAGGGACACAAGGGGCGAGGTTGCGGGTGAGGCTTGGGGGTGGGCGCTCGGCCGGGGAGGGGGCGATGCGGGGGGGGGTGCGGGGGAGGGTGAGGTCCTGGGGGGGGGAGCCGGACGGAGCTTAAGGGGGCGGGGGTGGCCTCCTGCCCCCGGTGGAACCCGCCGCCGGGCAGTGGAAGCAGCCCGCGCGTCCCCACCATGGGCCGCGGACATCGCCTCACTTCATCCACGCAACAGCCTTGAGGCGCGGCAGTGTCGCCCACCTTAGAGCGGATACCCAGGGCTTAAACAGTGGAGTCATGACCAGGTTACTGCTGGTGCCTTGCGGAATCGGACGTGCTCCCCTCCGGAGCCCGAGCCCCAAGCGCTTTACCTGGGTGAGGTCGGCACGGGTTGGAGAAGAGGTCGCCGCTGGGGCCGACCCTCCAGCGACGCCCTCGGCCCTCCCGCCCCCGCCCCGCAGCGACTCGGGCGACCGCAAGCAGATCTACAACATCCTGAGCACGCTGGGGCTGAGGCCCTCGGGCACGGACTGCGACATCGTGCGCCGCGCCTGCGAGAGCGTGTCCACGCGCGCCGCGCACATGTGCTCCGCGGGGCTGGCGGCCGTCATCAACCGCATGCGCGAGAGCCGCAGGGAGGACGTGATGCGCATCACCGTGGGTGTAGACGGCTCGGTGTACAAGCTGCACCCAAGGTGCGCCCCGCAGCCATCCGCCCACCCCGCCGCGCCCCGCCTCCCCGTCGTGGGAGCGCGTCCTGAGGGCACAGCCGGGCCGCAGTCCCCGCTTAGGAAATGCGGGCCGAGAAGGACCCTCTCTGAGGCCCCAAGGATTCTTCTCTCTCGTCCCCCTTGGCTCACACCCATGGGAAGGGTCCCCTAGGCTTATCCCCTGTGGCTGCCTTCAGTGAGCGTGACCGGCTCTGGAGGGTGGGCCCGAGGCGGGGGGAGGCCAGCTGGGAGCGCAGGCAGGAGGTTCGGCAGCTCTGCTTCCCCCCTGCTCAGCTTCAAGCAGCGGTTCCACGCCAGCGTGCGCAGGCTGACGCCCAACTGCGAGATCACCTTCATCGAGTCGGAGGAGGGCAGCGGCCGGGGCGCGGCCCTGATCTCCGCGGTGGCCTGTAAGAAGGCCTGCATGCTGGGCCAGTGAGAACCGAGGCGGCGTGGCAAGGAGGAGGCTGGCGCCGGCGCTGGACCTGAGCTCCAGGGAACGTGCTCCCCACAGATGCTCCCGGCCTGGGGGGTCAGGAGGCCTCTCCTTGTAAGGACCATGGATGCCTCCTATCCCTGCTGCCACTCCAGAAGATGGGGAAAGGTCCGCAGGGGGAATGTGGGACCCGGGCAGCCCTCTTCTCTCAGAGTCAGTTGGTGGGACAGCCCTGGGGCCTTGACTGGGTTGGGGGCTGGATGAGCACGAATGGAGACCCCCAATGTCCCTTGCCTTTCTTTCTGTAATGGAGGACCCAGAAAGGAGTCACTCACTCAGGACTTTGTTGCATTTCTGCACTGCCTGCCTCTCGGAGCTTTCAGCCCAGCTCTGGGAAGCGGGTGCCCTCTGCTGCGGCCTGTCTTCCCTGGGAACTCAGCCTAAATGGGGAGGCACCCCCCCCCCCCCCCCAGTCCCCCTGGGGCCAGCCAGACCTAGAGCTAGGCCTGGGCTACCAGCGGGTAGGGTGGGAGGGGAGGCTGCAGGTACACTCAAAGCCTGGAGATGGCAGCCTTTTCCCTCCCATAGTGCCATCCCTGAGTGGTTTGGGGTTCTGGGATGGACCCTCACAGGAGATGCAAAGCCCCTAGCCAGGGGCCCTGGAAGAGGTGGAGCCCAGGCCCCAGCACAGGCAGGCCTGGGGGCACCCGGGAGGGCCCACCCAGGCTTCTCGTCTCACCAGACCTCCATGTGCCACACCAACCTCTCCATGCCCAACCTGGGACAGTGTGGGTTTTTTTAATTAAAAGTTTTAAAAGTTTAGAACATGGCCTTGTCCAGTGTTCTTTATCTCTGGGTATAAGGGCTGTGGGTATTTGTAGGATTTTAGCATCCACTCAGTTTTCAATGAAAGAAACTACCAACTGTGTCGTTTCATTCAGAGCTTAACCCAAAGTTGTGATCTTGAGCAGTCAAACCCCCCTTGAGATGTTCTCTTGTTTTCTGGTGTGTCTCTTATGGAATTGCTTCCAGTCTTTTTAGTTCTCTCGACTCTAAATTATGCATCAGAAGTTTGCGCAAGCATCCAATTCATTATTGGTACTAATGTACCCATGTTTGAGCATTCACATATCAGATCTCATTTGAATATAGATTACTTCCTAGTTTTCCTTTATGTTACAGATCAGGGCATTGTATTGATTTTCAAAATTCTCTATGAAGGTAAATTATATGTCCTATAAAATTCATTTCAGGAGAGCAAAGGAGGTGCTATGAAACACTTACTTGTTGTACCAAAGGGACATTGGGTCTGAGGGATAAGAACCTCTCTGCATTCCTCACACCAACTGGCAGGATCTGGCCTCACTCCCGGGTGGCGGGGCAGCCAGACAGGGCAGCCTGGCAGAGCCAGGTTCAGGGGGCCAGCCAGCGGAAAGGTCCCCTTTCCTCCAGTCCTTCTGTGCCCTGGGCCTGCAAGGAGACATGAGGCTGCTGCTCTGGCACAGTGTAGGGCACCCGGGCCCCTTGCTCCACGGTGGAGCCCCACATGAGGGACTCTCGACCCACTTTCCCGAGGGATGGAGGCAGAGCTCTTGCTCCAAAAGCATCATGTGCAGGCTCTGTTTGGGGTCACAGCCAGCTCAGGGCTGCTTTTTGCACCTTGGTCAGAGGGGCGAGAGGTCAGGGCCAAGCATCTTCACCAAAACCTCTGGGAATCCCTGGGGGTCTCAGGCCAGAGACCAACTTCAGTGCCACCCACTGCCCTGCCAAGCCCAGTGGGGGCCCCAGGCCAGCCCTGCGCCCGCTGTCCTCTTGGACTGGACAGGTTCTGGGCTGGACCTGCAGGAGGGACAGTCAGAGGAGGGGAGCAGCACATAGAGTGGTGAGAGCTGTGAGCCCGCTCTGCTCTCAGGAGGTGCTGCCGGAATGGGTGGACACCCGGATGTTACAGACTGGGGGCCTAGAGGTCACCAGGAATGTGGCTGGAATCTGCTTGGGGCCCTGTCTTCCCCCAGCCCAGACGGGGGCTGCCAAGTTTGGGCCTGTCCTCTCCTCCTGTCCTTATTTGGTGTTGTAGGTGATAAGGCTGAGACATAAAGGGGGCTGTGGGCCCCTCGTGGCAACCAGGCTGCCGCAGAGAGAAGATGGTGAGTGCCAGGTGGGGGGATGTGAGGCCAGAGGCCTCCCAGATACGGTCCCTTGGGCTGGGGGAGCAGAGCCAGCCATTTCTGTGCCTGTGTTGATCCCAGAGAGGTGGTCTCCAGGGACAGGAAGAGGACTCTGAAGCAGCCTCTCCTGCAATGCTCTGGGGGTGTGCACTGCGGGGTCTTTGGGGAGCCAGGGAGAGGACCCCTCCCCACCCACAGTGTTGCAGGCCAGCAGGAAGGCGGGGACCAGGGGCAAGGCCGGGGCCACCAAGCAGGCCCAACGTGGCTCTTCCAACGTCTTTTCGATGTTCGAGCAAGCCCAGATCCAGGAGTTCAAGGAAGTGAGTGCCCCACCCCCAACAGCCTGGGACCCATCCTGAAGCCCCCACCCCACATATACCCCTCTTCTCTGTAGGTCAGTCGTCTTGGCCCCTGTCCTTGCTCCTCCCACCACCCCCTGCCTTCCCTGGGGTGGGGGCTGCTCCCAACTGGAGACTGTGGCCCCCTACCTCACAGGCCTTCAGCTGCATCGACCAGAACCGGGATGGCATCATCTGCAAGTCAGACCTTCGGGAGACCTACTCCCAGCTCGGTGGGTGCCTGCCTCCCACCCAGCCTGCCGTCTCCTCACACCTGCCTCTGCCCAGTCACACCTAACTTCCACCTCTCCTCCGCCACTCAGAGCTGCCCCTACCTGGGAAGGAGGGGAGGGCAGTCTGGGCCGCACTCGTGGACACCCAGGGTCCCTGTGTCCATCTCACGCCCCTACCCCCACCAGGGAAGGTGAGTGTCCCAGAAGAGGAGCTGGACGCCATGCTGCAGGAGGGGAAGGGCCCCATCAACTTCACCGTCTTCCTCACGCTCTTCGGAGAGAAGCTCAACGGTGAGCCTGGGGCAGGTCTGGAGCCCCCTGGCGAGGCAGCGAGCTTGAACCCTGCCTGGACCCCACCTGGCCCTTGCCCACCCAGGGGATGTGGAGCCCACCCCTGCTTCCCAGACCCATGGGCGCTGGTCACCCAAGTCCTGACTCAGGTTTGGAAGAGGTGCTTTCAGCCTCCACTCCCAAATCCCGAATCCCAGTCAGGCCTGCCCCTCTCAGGAGGACAGCCCATCTCGGTCTCTCTGGGCCCCGAAGGACACTTTGTATCAGGGAACACCCTCAGCCCACCTCTTCTGGGACGTGGAGGGCTCCCCCTGCACCCTGGGTCCCTCCTGGATGGGGCTGGGGAGCTCGGGACGTGGGTGCTCACCTGTGCCCTTGGCCTCCCAGGGACAGACCCCGAGGAAGCCATCCTGAGCGCCTTCCGCATGTTTGACCCCAGTGGCAAAGGCGTAGTGAACAAGGATGAGTGAGTGGGAGCTGCGGGGACGATGGGCGCCGTGCTGGAAGCAGGCGGGGCGATGAGGCCCCTTGTGAGGGTGGTGCCTGTACTCTGGGTCCTCTCTGCTCTTTGGGGGGTGGTCACCTGGATCATGGGAGCCTTCCTCCCCCCTCTCTGTGCAGCCACTCACCCGGGCTCTCCCACTGCTCCCCACCCGCCCAGGTTCAAGCAGCTTCTCCTGACCCAGGCAGACAAATTCTCTCCGGCTGAGGTGAGAATTCCTGGCTCTTTCAACAGCCCTCCCCCACCCCTTTGCAGGGCCCTTCACCCCACAGGGCACTGGGGAGGCCTTGGTGTCCCGTTGCCCTTGTGGGCTTAGAGCCAGCTTTCCAGAGGAGGTTCCATCTCTGTTGAGATCTGGAGGGTAAAGAAAGTGGAGTCAAAAAGGGAGGAGGGTGTGCCAGGCTGGGAGAGCCATGTGTGCAAAGGCCGGGGTGGGAGCACAGTGGCACCTTCAGCATCTGGAAGAGGTTCTATACATGCGGGCGTGGGGGCGGCACAGAGAAGAGAGGGGAGCATCCCCAGGGCCAGGGTGGGCCCTTTGACCCATGGCCCTCATCGCGCCTCCCCCGCCAGTTTGGTCAAAGTCGGACAACAGAAAAACCATTAACTCACAGTTTTGGGTTTGGGGCTGAAAAGGCTAAGGGCCAAAATGCAGCCCCAGAGGGCAAGGAGAAGGGTCATAGGTCTCCCTTAGGTCACACGCCGGCTCCCCAGGCCTCCCTGGCTGGGCTGTGCCTGGAGCCAGGAGCTCCCCCAGTGCCTCCCCCAGGTGGAGCAGATGTTTGCCCTGACGCCCATGGACCTGGCAGGGAACATCGACTACAAGTCCCTGTGTTACATCATCACCCATGGGGACGAGAAGGAGGAGTGAGCCGGAGGCGCGGGCAGCTGTGGCTCAGTGCCAGGCCCTCAGGGCCACCTCAATAAACGCTGTTTCTGAATTAGACCTGCAGTGGTGGCCTGTCTGTGACAGATGGGGTGGGGGCCAGCCAAGGGGATCCGAGGGGCTGATGCGAGGATCACCATGGGAATAAGCCAGGCCCCTCACCAGCCCACCTCAATGCACCCCACACTTCCCAGTGACGTACGAACCATGATATGCTCACTTACAGATGAGAACACTGAGGCCTGAGAGGGCAGGCATCTCGCCCAAGGTGGCACCTCTAGGACAGGAAATGGTGGGCCTTACACCCGCCTCCACCAGGCCCAGACAGCCGCACAATAGGCCCTCTGCTCAGCATCCTGAGGCCGCCTACCTGGCGCTCAGCAAACATTCTGCCAACAGCCCAGCTGGCGGGCTGCGGCACTGAGACTCTGCCCATCGGACCCCTTGACCACACAGCCCCACCTCTGCACGCTGGCTCAGGTGGGCCTCCGTACACAGGCGTGTGCTGTGCTGGGCCCTGTGGGAAAGGCACTGAGGAACGCATCTGAAAACACGGCAGGTGCCTGACACCAAAGGCGGGGCCAGAGTACAGCAGACTAGCAAGGAGATGCTCAGGAACTGACTCTGCACCTCCGAAGGTGGCTGGAGAGAGGGAGAGGATTTCTCTGGAGAGGATCGTTAGTGTCCCATCCCCCACCTCACCTGGACAGGACACAGCCCCATTGTGGCTACTGGGGGGCAGCAGGGGAACCTCCAGAGCAGAGCACTCAGGGAGGGGGGGGGAGGGGGGAGGAGAGAGAGAGACAGCTCTCTGGGCCAGACCCAGAGCACACAAAGCCCTTCTTGGGATAGTAACAGCTGAGTAAGAGCTCTCTCCCCGCTTAGTCCCCTCCCGCCAAGCCCTGCTGCAGTCCCTGGCTGGGGAGGTGGGATGACAGAGCAAGAAGGAAGGAGCTGACTGCACTCCCTTCCTGAAGGCATTTTCACCTGGAGAGAGCTTCAGTTTTGATTTTTATCTGGGACTTGGCAATTTTAATTACTACATTGAGACTTGAGGTTTAAAGTTACCATAGTGTTTTTTATTGCTTATTGGTGATCGCAAAAGTCATGGGACTGCGTGCATTTTCATCCAGAGAGCAGGCAACCAGCCCACCGCACTGGCCGTGCTGCAGGGACAACGGGTGAACAAAGTCAAGACTGTGTTGTGATTCCAGCACACAAGTTCTGCTTGTTCAACAAACCCATCTCAAAAAGTAAGGGATAATTTTGTAATTCGAGCCTCTGCGGGGAAAAGTTGTGAAAGACTCTGAAATGGACCAAAAAGATCATGGGTGGCTTGAAAAGGGTGCTGTCTAGCACCCCCTCCAGGCTGGCTGATTCTGGGGGAGCTCTGCACCTGTCACTGTGTTTGAGCTATTTCACAACTCCATGAGTTGCAGATGACTAACAGCAAGGTAAACGATTCCCTCCCTAGAGAGGCAAATAAATATTATCCAGTGAAGCATGTTAACTTCCTCCTTCTCTGTGCAAGAGGCCAGCTTGGTGCCCAGTAAGCAAGTTCATCTCCGCATTCCTGTCAGCCTAGATTGCATCTGCTCTCTGAATCTCCCTGAACCAGTTATGACATCTTATTGGTGGCTTCATGCATTAACAAGTGAAAAAATCTCTGACAGGGGGGCCGGCTCCATGGCCGAGTGGTTAAGTTCTCGCGCTCCCCTGCGGTGGCCCAGGGTTCGGATCCTGGGAGCGGACATGGCACCGCTCGTCAGGCAACGTTGAGGCGGCGTCCCACATCCCACAACTAGAAGGACCTGCAACTAAGATATACAACTATGTACCGGGGGGGAGGGTTGGGGAGATAAAGCAGAAAAAAAAAAAAGATTGGCAACAGATGTTAGCCCAGGTGCCAATCTTTAAAAAAAAAAAAAGATCTCTGACAGGTGTCAAAGTTTATATTTGTATGTGAGTCATGATTCTGCTTTTAAAAACTGTTTCGTTTCACACTCCTGGAGTAGTTGTCTGCTAAGGTGAGTCCTTTCTGCACCAAAACTGCCTGTATTAGTGTTAGTTTGGAGTAAACTGAGGGCAGAGTATGTGTGCATGTTTGAGAGACGAGAGAGAGAGAGAGAAGCAGAGAAGGAGACAGGCCTGTATTGCGCCTCCTGAGCACGTGCAGTGCGGCCAGTGTGAATTCGGAGGTGCTGCAGGTGTAAAATGGACATCGTATTTTGAAAATTTAGTACCAAAAAAAAGTAAAATATCTCATTAATAACTTGTCCATTGAATGCATGTTGAAATGATAATATTTTGGATATATTCGGTTGAATAGAAAAACTCCTAAAAGGAACTTCTCTTATTTCTTTTTTCTTCCTTAATGTGCCTACAGGAAAACCTTAAATGACATATGTGGCTCTCATTGCAGGCTCACATTACCACTCCACTGGACGGCACTGAGTTACCTGTGGGATGTGTTCAAGCCTGCAGTCTCTGGGGCTGGTGGCGGTCCCTGGGATTCACACCCAGTAACCAGG